TACTTCAAATGTAAAAAGTTTGTTCGCAAACTGTTTGAATAAAGTTGAGGCATGGCTGCTAAATTTAAAAAAAAAAAAAAAATTAAAATATAATATATTATAGTTAGAGTTATCTGCAAGCCTTCTTTAGAATAGGATTAATAGAGTATTTTGAGATGAGATTTTTCTTATGAAGACAATTTGAGATACAAGTTAGTCTAAATAGTCTTCAAAATAAGGTAGTATAAGATTAGTGTAAATTATAAATATTAGATTAAAATAAAATTTTATAGTAATACCAGAAAGCTTAAATAGAGTATCTATAGGCAAATACTAGATATAGCAATTAATAGATAACCTAAATAGCAGAACCTTTAAATAGATAATAACTAAAGTTGTATATATAGTTAATTATACTTTTACTAATTAATACTAGATAAATATATAGCATTATATGTTCAGAGCTAAAAATTTAATAAATTACAATATTATATAAAGAAAGTTAGCTAGTATAATATATTACTAGTCTATAACTAACTAATCAGAATTTAAAATCAGGTATAAAATAAAAATTGCAATTTTTTAAGAAATTCAAAATTTTGCTTATGAAACTACTTACTGTATTTTAACAAAATAATTCCTGCAAAATTTTAGTTTAAAAATACCTTGCTATTGTATATTACTAACTCTAACTCTAATATAACCTCCTAAACTAATATATTATAGTTTTTTTTTAGTTTTAACTTTACTGATTAGTTGGTTATATGACTAGTATTGCATTGTTAATGAAAATAATCATCTTAAAATATAAAAATAAAAAATTATTTAAAAAAATTTTTTTTAATAAACATTTATAAATATAATAATAACACTAGAAATTATTAAATTTGGTTAATTTGATTTACATAATTATCTGATTCTAATAATTAGCAAAATCGCATAAAGAATATTACTATCTTTATAAATAATAACTAGATTGCTAATATAGCTATTCTATTATTATTGAATAATAATTTAAGCAAATAGAAGTTATTATCTATAAAGTAGTAATAACTATCACACATTAATTCTAGGATTACATATAAAAATTGAGATAGGTAAAGTTTTTTGTTTACAGTATTAGTAGAGATATTAAATTGCAAATTTAGTCTAGTTTGATCCTAGGATCTAAAAAGACAGTCCTGAACTTAATTATTTAAATCATATAAAAATACAATATATTTTATAGAACTTAAATCCTGTATCAGATCCTAAATTGAATCTATTAAATAAGTTTATCTAATCAAATTAATTTTGTATTGTTATAATAATTCTAAGTCTTATAAAATATATTGTTTTCATATGATTTAAAGACTGAGTCCTGCAAGTCCTTGTAAGGACTAGTTAGAAATAGTTTTGAAAGACTAATTAATATCTCTAAATATTAATAAATTATATAATATGATTGTAATATAATTAAATATAAAAGGGTATTATTATAAAAAATATAGTTACAAAAAAAAAAACAACAGTTAAAATTTTAACTATATTACCTTTTTATGTATTGTTTTTATTATGTAAATTTACTGCTATTTCACTATATATATACTTTATTTAGTTATATAGTATTACTTAGCCTTTATAGTTATGCAAAGTAGATATTAAATTAGATATGATATAGAATGCATATAAAAGATATGACATGTAAAGTACAAGAAATGAGTTAGTTGTAAATAAATCATATAGATTATAAAGAGGTACAATATAGTATAAACAAGTACATCATTAGTAAGGCAAGACCAAACTATAATATTAAACAAAAGTATCTTTAATAAAAAGCACTAAAATAGTAAAAGTTATATATAATCATGAAAAAGAATTGTATATGATAAGAAATATATAAAAAACCTTACCTTTTTCTTTCAATAAAGCTTTCTAGAACCTATCTTGTTATATAAATTCTTGACTACTAAGCAGAAAAAATACTACAACAAATAAATATAAATATATATTTTCATTTTATCATTTTTATTAAACAAAACTTTATAAAGAAAACTGAATAAAAAAAAAGCATAACTCATATGGAGGAAAGTAAAGCAGAAGGATACTAAATAGAAGAAACTCAGATGGATAAAACCTTAACTAAATGAAGCCAAATGGAAGAAACATAGACTAAATAGAGCCAAATAGAAAAAACACAAACTGAAGGAAGCTAAATAAAAGAAACCTAAACTAAAGGGAGCTAAATAAAAGAAACACAAATTGAAGGAAGCCAAATAGAAGAAAGTTAATTGGAAGGAAGTATTATTTATCAAGATATACTTAGAAAGTATAAAAATAGAGAAAATGAAATAGCCTAGCAATATAAACTGCATCTCACACAGAAATATAAGAAAAGATAGCAAAATAGATTAAATAATATATTCAACAAACTCAAAAAACACTTTACTAATAATTGTAAAAGTAGCAATAGTAATAATATCTAGTAAGAAATTGAAAACTCTCAGAGCATTGACAATATAGTTATATATATCAATCCATTCTCTATAGTTTTTAGTGAATTTGATAAGAAACTTCTAAAAAAGTTTTGCAGTAAAGTAGATAAATTAAAATATATACTTTGTCTTATATATAATGAATGTTTCTTATTGATAGTACTTGTTAAAGGAGAATATCTTTGTTGCTATACTGAGAGAATCTTACTAAGAAATTCTCATCAGAAAATAATATAGATCTAGGCAAAGTATCTGAAGAACTTCAAGGACTTACAGAAATTAAAAAGATACTAATTATACAGAGGACAATACAGATATAGTGAAAATATAATTAACTTTCCTCAAGATATAGATAAATTTACAACTTGTCTTCTCCAGTATCTATCTTTATTAAATATACTTATTGTACATTAGTAATTCGAAAGAGATCTAGTTGTATTTAAAGACTTTATAGTTTATTAAGACAAAGTTACTCATGCTTTATCTTAGTTAAAAGCAAACAATTACTATTATTTTAAAATTACTATAGATAATAAAAATTTTTAATCCTTGCTTGAGAATAGTTTTATTAATGACTAACTTCAGAATAATCAAATAATAGATAATAATTTTGGTAAAGAAAGTAGGAAGATGTGATTATATATACCTTCATGCCTTTCTTTCCTTCAGAAAATTGAGAAAATATTGCTATAAATAATATACTCAATTATATAATTACTAATAGTAATAGCATAGCATGGCCACAAATCAACAGCAATCCTATTAATGAATTTAAGATGTCAGGTTACTTTACATGTGCATTTCCAATACTCTATCTGACTGGATATGCTGATCTTCATATAGAACATTTTAGAGACATCAAACTAGCTGAATATTTTAAGCATTTATTATAATATAAGGATGAAAGGTTTGCTCATCATACTGTTGGCAGTATTTTGTCCTTAATTCCTAGATGAGATAGTGAGTACTACAGGAAGAAAGAGTATATATTAAACAGAACTTTGATAATTATCAACTTATAGTTACAGAAATCTAGAAAAAAATAGCTGAAGGTAATACATATATAGCTGATTAAGTTATGAAATTTAAACAGGGTATATATGAATCTAGATAGTTTTGAAATGCAGAACATTATGAACTTTTAGATATGATTAAGCAGTTAGGTTCATAAGAGTTAGTGTTCTTTATATTTAGTACTGCAGATCTACCTGACCAGAGCTTTATAAACTTATGCTATCTAATAAAAATTATAATCAAAACATTATCAACAACCTACATATTGCTACTTGGTTCTTTAATAAATATTTTGAGATTTTTTTTCATGATGTATTAATAAAAAATAAAATTTAGAAGACTGGTAATATAGATTTGAATGACAACATTGTAGTAGTATCTATGTATATAGAATTAGAAAAATAAGAAATGTATCTAAAATTGAATAGAAATGAATAAAAGAAGATAAGAGCTTATTAATGTAGTAGTGGAATATATCAACTCCCTTGTCACCACAATTAATCTAGAGTCTAATGCATTAATCTCTAACTATTATCTATATCAAAAGTATCATGAAGAACTAAATGATATTTTACAAGATTACATTGAATTAGTTAATAAGTTACAAAAACATATATGATGAAGCCTTTCATATTGCCTTCATGTCAACTAAAGTATAGGATAACAATTCTTTAGATTCAGATATCCTAAAGAGAAAACAAATTATATCTTTTTATATAATGATACCTATAGTTATTTAGAACTTATTATAGCAAGAAATGATCTGTATGTTAATCTACACAATAGACTTTAGTTGTAAGGATGAAAAGCAAATATTGATTTAAAACTAATTCTTAGTATCAATACAGGCTAAATTATATTTTTAAATATGCATGTAAAGCAGAACTGTGATCAGTAACTTTTTCAGAGATATTAGATTAAATACTTCATGATAGCAAGCCTGATAACTAATTACATATACTAATTCAAAAATTATTACTCTATAGTGTTGCAGAATATGATATATTTGCTCAAGAAACTTGTCATCTTCTTCTTGAAATTTCTCTTTATCATTCAAGCTGCATATTTATTTTATTAAATCTTAATAAAAAAGTGCTGTGATGGATTTGTAGTACTGGCAATAAAAATTATTGCAAAGCTGAGAATACTGAATTGATGACAAGATTGATTTTAAAAATATACTGAGATCAATCTTCTTAGTTTAATGAATTTTCATTATATTAATTATACTTAACACATAAATTTACTAATAATCAATAGAGCAAATGCAAACAAAAAAATATTTTGTATATTTGGCTATACCTATCACTATTGCAGGAAAGCTCAGAATAGGAAGAGTTTTGTCATATAAAAATTCTTCTTCATGTTCCTCATCAGATACTGAAGTGCTAACTCAAAATAGTACAATTTTATGGTCAGCTTTATACAATAGTTATTTTGATGAAATCAATTTTGACCCAATTGACTTACTTTTAGCAAAAATGAGGTTTAATTCAAGCTTTAATTGTTCTTCTAATCTTGGATGTCTTAACATGGATCTAAATCATAACTGGATTAATAATACTAGACAATATTATTCTAATACTAATATTGAAGAAGCAAGCTCTTTTATACAAAGACCTAATCATGATAAGAGTAATGAAACAGAAAATAAAAATTTAATTACTGATAAAATAGATTACCAAACTTTAAATGAAAATCAGTTAACAATCTTCAAGTAAGTAGAATTGCACTATCACAACATTATTATAAATTGCCAAGTTGAGCCACTAAGAATTATTATCATTGGGACTGCAGGAACAAAAAAATCCTATCTTATTTAGGTGATCAGAGGTTGACTTCATGAGATAGCAGGAGTTAGATCTAAATCACCTATATTTGTGCTTGCTTTAACAGGTGTTACAGCCTTTAATATTAATAGAACAACAATTCATTCAATACTCTCCATTCCAATACCTACTAGTACTCACCTTGATATGAATAAAAAGCAACTAAAACAGTTGCAGAATAGGTTACTAAATGTAAACTATTTTATCATTGATGAAAAAAGTATAGTTAAATGCTGAATGCTTGCTTTAATTGATATGTAGTTATAACAAGTTTTTCCTGAGCACAAGAATGAACCCTTTAGTAAAAGATCAATTATGTTATTTAGTGATTTTAGTTAGCTTCTCCTCATACTGGATCTTCTAATATATATAACAAACACTTTATGAGATTCATTATCTAATAATAGAATTGTAGTATATAAACAGTTTCAAGAAGTATATAAGCTTAATATTATTCAATAACAATTTGGAAATACTGATGATCAACAAGATTTTAGAGATATTTTATTACAATTACGTGATAAAGAATCTAGTATTAATAACCAGAATATACTTAGTACACAGTTTAAAGATAATATAATCAGAACAGAATATGTTCAATTCTCAGATATTTTTTATATTCTAACAAAGTGAACTGAAGTTAATTTAATAAATACAACTATACTTAGATCTTTAAATATTCCTGTTGCAAAAGTTCATGCAGTATATTATATAAATAGTAAAAAAGCCAAAAATACAGATTCAGATATAGCAAAGGGTCTTGAAGCAGAATTATTACTAGCCAAAGATATACATATTATGCTAATAGCAAACCTATGGACAGAAGCTAAATTAGTAAACAGTTCAATGGGAACTATTCAAGATATTTTGTTTGAAGAAGATCAAAGACTACTTTCACTTCTTATAGCAGTTTTTATAAAATATGATGATTATAAAGGATCTACTATAAGCATCTTGAAAAGTATAAAAGTTGTCCTAATCATGCCAATTCAACATATTTGGAAAAACAAATCAGGAACTAAATGCTCATGTTTGCAAGTTCCTATCTGTTTTGCATAGGCTATTACAAACATAAAAGTCAAGACCTTATAATACCAAAAGCTGTAATAGCTATTAGTAGCAAAGAGTTCATAGCTAGTCTTTCTTTTGTATTATATCTTGAGTTCGTGCTCTCAAAAATATTCTCTTCAAGCCTTTTACTCTTGAAAGATTCCAGAAAATTAAAAAAAGTAAAAGAGTACAAAAAAGAAAAGATAAAGAAAAGAGGCTATTTTCTTTAATACCTAAAAATTGAAGAAAACTGTAATCACATATTGTTAGTAAAATCAGGTAATAACAAAATAGAATTTCAACAATCTTGTACAAAATATTTATCATATCATACATTTATCAATAGATTTGATTTTTTATTTTTTCTTATTTTTTTTTTTTTTTTTTTTTTTTTTTTTTTTTTTTTTTTTTTTTTTTTTTTTTTTTTTTTTTTTTTTTTTTTT